GGTTCCAAAATGAGCCGTTTCTAGGTTCCAAAATGAGCCGTGTACCCATGTGAGGTGGGTTGATTTCTGAGAAGCAACCCAGTCATTCCCATCATTTGTTCAACTTGAGGTTCTGGAATCCCAAATGAATCGCAGGTCCCAGGGCCAATCAGAGAAATCCACCTCCCAGACCTATAAAACGAACTCGCGCGAACTGTCAGGATGAGGATTATGTGGCCACCGCGCGCCGGGAGTTTGTCGAGGATGAAGTGGGGAGAAACGACATAATAAGGAACAAGCAGATCTGGCTGGGCCAATCAATTGCTATCCCTTTTGCGACACTGCTGGAACATTGCTGACATCAGCCAAGGGCCAAGGTAAACGCACGGCCAGGTTTTGTAGGCCCTGTGAGATCTACCAACGAATCATTCAGACCGACGACCGACACGTCTTCTCTTTTTGCCCACACCTTTCAACAAATCGCCTGTCGGACAGGTCAGAAGACACAAGCGAATAGACTAATAGAGAGAGCTGCACAACCAGAACATGTCAGAAGAAAAACGAAGGAAAGGATGTTGCATTCTTTGCATTGCTGAACTCCCCTATCAAAGGATGAGTGGGGTAGGGAGCCCTGTGTGAACAGACATTCATATTGCAATAGACACTGTAACTGTGTCATCGACCCTGTTTCAATGATACATCTGAATCAACCGACTTGTGAGCAGAGCAGCTGGGCCTTGCTCAACTGCCTTCCGTTTGGGACATGTAAGACGATAGAAACGCGACAAAAAGGACGCCACAAAAAAAAATGATGCCCTGAAATCGCATGGCTTTGAGGAGACGGCAGACTTTGGCGACTTGGCCAGACATTTGAAAGGCCTGGGATGCGAGGTTCGGCTCGGGGGTGGCCAATGGGAGGACGGTCTCCCCGCTTTTTGGGGGGCAGATTTTCCCTGAAATGGCCCGTTTATGGCCCGCCCCTTCACCAAGGGCGTTGGAGACTGGGAAATTGGTCCTTTTGACAACAATATATTCTGACAATTGGAAACACAAAACACATCACGACAGACAGGACCATGACAGGACGAAAGCTCCACAAAAAGAACACATGTTCATCAACAGATTCATTGCATGAGGATTGATTATTGAATAGTTCCGAGTATCTCACAGCAACACTAGTCTCCCTGCTGCACTTAACCACAACCGCCCATCGCAAAGATCTAATCAGGGTACGGATCCAGCACTTTGTACTGAAATGTCCCGAGGTTCTTGCAACAAAGGTTTGTGAAAAGAGACGTATAAGAGACGATGGGTCTTGCCCAGACTCATAGGTGCAGCGGCAATGGGACCAGTATGGTGAAAACGATGGATGAGTTTACGATTCTGAGATGTGATTCAGGTGAACATATGATTTTCCTATGGGAGGGTTCAGGCGCACTCGCCTTTCCTTCTGGGCAGGATCATTCGAACATATTTGAACATAAACATATCTTAAGAACAGAGACGGTGGTTCAGCTTCTTCCGCACCCAGCCCATCTCGACGGGACTCATGACGCGACCCAGGACCACTCGACCGGTGGGACTCGATCGGCATCGATGGAAGCGATCGCAGGTCCATTGGAAGCGATCTGGTACATTGCTGCCAAGATGGCCGTGGTCTTCTGTGAGGCGACAGACCAGACCGGCGGTGTTGGTCTTGACGTACCAAAGTTGGTTGGTTTCCCGCTCAAAAAGGCTAACAGATGGCTAAGCTGCATCTACTCGCAACTGCTAGCAGCAAAATAGTCGAATTGGCAGATGAATCCCCCTGTCCACCCGCCCTGCAAGCCTCAAAAAATGCCACGGACCCAGCTGGCTGCCGAACTGATCGCCGAAGGCGAAGGACATCGGACAAGGTCTCCGTGCTTTCGGGCAGGTCCCCGCGAGCGTGGTGGAAGAAAGCGAAGAAGCCCGAAGCTCACAGGCATCGAAAAAACCGCACAGCTACCCGCGCGTCGTGTCTTTTTGGGGGGGAAAGAGGAGAAGGAGGAGGAGGAGGTCTCCGAGATGCATACGTTATTCTAAGAGACATTGAAAGATTTAATCACAATAAATCACCGGTCTTGATCTACCTGTATCTCAAACCTTTCCCAACACTCCACTAATGAGCCGTCCCAAGAAAAGTGGCACATGTTTCTCAGTTCTCGACGCTTTGAAATCAACTCCGTTTTCCACGCCTTAGGCCGCAGCGCCTGCAAAGCCTGCTCCCAGACCGCGGCGCCAGCAAGCGCGGCAGCAGGAGGGGCTGCCCGTCACGGTTGGAGGCTACCGCCTCGGGCCGACTGCCTGGGGCATGAGAGAGGGTCCTCTAGCGCAGTGAGTTCAGTGGATCACCTGCTAAAACCTTTCTTGGGGGGGGCGATGTGTTTTCTCCATGTTTTCTCCACTCAGGCGCCAAATGCCCTTTGCTTCAGGTTCGCTCGCGGGGTCGCAGAAACGGCGAGCCAATGGGATGGTGCGTGGGGAGACGGATTTGCGAGGGCCGTCACCTGGTGAACGGGGGGCGATGTTCGCCACCCGGTGAAGTGGCCTAAGAAGGCCTAAAAGTCTTCAGCTTTGAAAGGAAGATCGGACAAAACAGATTGCATCGATCTTTTGGGTGGGGTGCTTCTGTTGACGACCGGTCAGAATTGCTTTAAACGAAAGCATAAAGCTGTTTCGACTCCGGGTGAAGGCAGGAGCATCCATCCTGAACATATGGCTAGCCGGGAGCTTGCCATTTGAGCCGGTTGGTCCTGACTAGGAGTTATTGAACGTTGTTTTTTTTAATCTTCCAGTCTTCCAGGCTTGAAAAGGAACCCCTTGCCATCCCCCATGATCCTACACACTGCACCAGAAGTTCCCCCAGCTGCTAACCACTCAAGTCAGCAGCATTGTCCATCTAGAACACGTTTTTCGTGGAAAGCGCCGCTGCCTCACCCGGCCACATCGCCTGCAGCAGCGCCAAGCATCCATGGTCCACCCACGGTGGACCTGTTCGGCCCTTCCTCTGGGCGGGACCGATGGGGCGAGGAGAAAGATGCGCAGAAGAAGAAAGCCTTGCCATTACAACCGGTCTGGGTGGACGCCATGGAACTCAGAAAGCTGAAGGATGACGGACTGGAAGGCTGATGGACTGGGGCCACGCCAGAATGTGGAGGATGTGATAGATACCAGCATCCTTTTGGCACTCCCCCCCAGACCTGGTGCCCAGGGTGTTTGGGTGTAAGTCCTGGCAATATATTTATTTACATCATGAGATGAATGATGAATGTTCGTGAAGAGGAATGCAGCTCAGGATCAATGCATGAATGCATGCCGTCAGCTGCAGAATTCCTCCAAATCCCCACAAAACCCATACCGGATCTGGAGGTGTTCTCTCCCACAACCGCCTCCCAATTTTGTTGAGAAGATACTTGCATCGTTTGTGCATTTGTCCGATGTGTTGTTGGGGGCGACCAGGTCTAGCAGCCGTCTGCTAACGGCTGGTGCCGGATGAGTTTTGGAAGGTTCCCTGGCCACATTGACCATAGTTGGAAAACCCTTGCTGAAGCCAACGGACAGAGGCATCTTTGAGGCATTGAATGCATTGATGCATCTCAAGCTACTGAAACGACAGACATGCACTACAACGACAGACATGGCCCCTTGACACTCTTTCCTCCGGTCATCTCCCGTCTCCCCCTGGCCCAAAAAAGCACTTGCAACAGGTCTCTCGGACCTCAACACGTGGCACTCCAGGTAGGAGTCTGTTCATCCGAGGCGTCGGATCTGCGCATCGCCCTCGGATCATCTGCAGGCGATCCGGGTCGAGACGAGACATAAGTTGCCTAAGACGAAGAACCAGAGATGCGGTCGCAGAGACGGGCGAAGGTCGCGGAGACGGGTCTTTGAGCATGTATGACCAGAGCTCGGTTGTTGTGGTGGTGAGGTGAGGTGGTGAGGTGAGGTGAGGTGAGGTGAGGTGAGGTGATGTGCGTTTTTGATCGTTTTTGTGGAGAACCTTGTTTGTCAGTAGAATAGGTAAAAAGGTCAGGATGGCATGGCTGCTACAGAAACATGTTCGAACACCTCAGAGCCCGGACATACCCTTCAGAAGTCGCTTCAGTGCAATATGTAATGTTTGTTTCACCCCTGTCCCACCCAGAAAACACGATGTGTCTGCCGTTTTCGAGATGACCAGGTGAAGTGGAGACGCAGATTGGCCGCTACCACCTCTTCCCCGCCGTGCGTCTCAGACCGTCAGTCTACCACAGATCTCGGATGAAGCCAGCCCAAATGGGTGTAGCAAAATAAGGCTTTCTCGGGGAGCTCAAAATGCACCTGGCATCAAAGATGTTTTGTTCCAACCTCCAGCGCTTCAAATCCTCGGTCGCTCAAATCCACCACACCTGTGGATTTGATTACCATGCAGCCACGGTCACCACACACATATCGCATCAGATCGCCACGACACGTTGTTTTTCATGTGTTTTTTTTTCCCCACAGTGCTACGCTACGTGCAGAGCTGCCCGCTCGGCTGCTCGCTGGCGTTCGGGAAGGATTCGGCCCAGGCAACTTGGGTGCGAAAGCCATGGTATTTCCACTAAAAGAATGAGCCTGACCGCACAGAATGTGGCAGTGGGTCACTGGGAACAGCTTGAGCACCTGGTTGGCCACCGAACATGAACCGCATGGACTACTACTAGACATTATCAACCTACCAGGCTAGCTGCGCCGGGGGCTCTATTTTTGTGGTGCGGATTAATGTGGTGCGGACATCGATCCACCCCTTGCATTGAGCGGATAATTAGAACCTATATAAAGTATGATAAAGAGAACATGCAATGTACTCAATGAGGTCAAGGACCAGGTTTAACTTGTCCTTTGGCCTTGTAGCGTATGGCAGGAAACAAAGCTTTAGCAGCTCGGCTCCTTGACCTCCCCACTTTGGCACCGCACAAAGCAGATCATTTCCGGCGCGCGAGAGTCTTTTAGTGCGCACCAAAAAGCTCTTGGATTTCGCGATGTTCCCCTCTCAATAATCCCCTAGGCCCTAAGCATCCCTAAGCCATATACAATATCAATATATATCTCGCAGTCACTGTAAACCATTGTATAGATAATAGATAGATTGATCAATCAAAACAAGACCTCGGAGCAAAAGGAAAGTTTGTTTGTTTGATTCTCTGAGGTGTCGAGGAAGTTCTTTCAAATCGGTGAGGTGAGCCGCTGGCTGGGCTCGGCGACTCAGTCCTTCTCGGGGAAAATCGTTTGAGAAGTCTTTCAGGTGAGACTTAGTTGAGGCTTGTCTTTTTACAGTGGCTCATCAGAGGTTCGATGGCACAAGATACCCCAAGTTTGGTGAATCAAATCACATACAGACAAATACGTTGTTTTCTGTGTGGCTCTCAATAAGAGAGACGTTGAGAAATTGTGACACTCAACCTGTCAAGAACTCAACATGTCAATGTGAAGAAACGTCCAGAAGAGTGTTTGTCGTTTCGTTAAACTTGGAAACAATTCATATCAGTTCACCCCAACATGTGAACCTGTCCCACCTTTTAGCATGCACCATTCCATCATGCAACCAACACTGCGACTTCGGATCACCTCCCCTCGGACCTGAAACAAGCCCAGGCCACTCCCCGCCCACTCTTCCCAATCTCATCCAATACGTCCAATATCTCTTCCCAACAAGAATCTCCCAAATGTCCCACCCCTCCACGCTCTCCGCGACTGACGCTCCGCTCCCCGCTCCGCTCCACTGGCTTCTTTCACGACTCCTCATGGGCGACGTCGGCGGACCGGGCACCGCAGAGCCGGACCTCGGCGGAACTCGTCGTCGCAGGACTCGTTGCTCCGTCACGGCACCGTGGCGTCGCGGCGCGCTGAGCCGAAGAGAAGGACCCGCAGCATCATGCGGCTGCGACCGATGAGGCGTGGTGGGGCGTTGATGTTTGTTTGGGGAGGTGGAAACGGTGGATTCGGGTTGAGGGGATGCAGAGGATAGGGGGACCACAAGGGGAGACTATGAAAGTCGCTTGCGAACATGAGGTTTTTAAGTCTAAATTTAAATTGTGTTTTATGCAACTGAAATTGTTCTATTTCTGAGTATAGTATGTGGTTTCAACAGAAACTATATATATATATAGGAACATATCCATTTGGCTTCACATTGACAGAGAGCAATTCAAGACCAGAGGCAAGTCTTTGCTCGAGTTGTTCACGATCACTTGTCACTTGACAATGGTTTCCGCGGGGGAGTCTCACACAGTCCTTCTCCGAAGTGATGGCAGTGCTGTTGCCTGTGGAACAAACAAACTTGGAGAATGCGACATTCCACCATTGGATGATGGAATGTCCTACACCCAGGCTTCTGCAGGAAGGCATCACACAGTGCTCCTCCGAAGTGATGGTAGCGCTGTGGCTTGCGGAGACAATGACAATGGACAATGCAACATTCCACCTTTGGATGAGGGAATGTCATACACCCAGGTTTCTGCTGGGGGGTTTCATTCAGTTCTTCTTCGAAGTGATGGAAGCGCTGTTGCCTGTGGAATACATGAACAGTGGATAGTTCCAGCTTTGGATGAGGGAATGTCCTATACCCAAGTTTCTGCGGGAGATTTTCATACAGTGCTTCTTCGAAGTGATGGCAACGCTCTGGCTTGTGCATGGAATGAAGATCATGGAGAGTGCAGCATTCCACCATTGGACGAAGGGCTGTTGTACACCCAAGTTTCTGCGGGCGATGGTCATACAGTACTTCTCCGAAGTGATGGCAGCGCGGTTGCCTGTGGGTTGAATCACTGCGGCCAGTGCAACATTCCATCTTTGAGCGAGGGAATGTCATACACCCAAGTTTCTGCAGGAGGGGTTCATACAGTCCTTCTCCGAAGTGATGGTAGTGTTGTTGGCTGCGGATTGAACGCCAGCAAACAATGCAACATTCCACCTTTGGATAAGGGAATGTCATACACGCAGATTTCTGCAGGAGGGCTTCATACAGTGTTGGTCCGAAGTGATGGAAGTGCTGCGGCCTGTGGACTGAACAAGTGTGGACAATGCAGCATTCCGTCATTGAAGTCTTGGCGTGAGCTTCTAACTTTTGCGGCCGCGAGCCGTGACTACACGTCTGTGTCCTCTACACCACTCGGCAAAGACTACATCTTACAACTGGGTGTTGTCTTCGAAGAGGATACAGCAATGCTGACATGCTGGGATTTGGCTGGACATGAAGTACTGCAATTCTGGACACCTGGGTCTGACCTGGCCTCGGATACTCAGAAGCGTATTGCAAGTAATTTGAAGGTTAGCCCCCAAAGTCTTCGAGTGGTTTTGCCTGACGGACAGTTGTTGGCCTCAATTTGCAGGGCAAATCCATCGGCCACCATTGCTGGCATGGTGAAGTGAACCTGGGAATCGCATCCCACATGATCTCGGCAAGGTCGGCAAGGACATGGAACCGTTATTGAACACCGCGGAGCACCGCCCTCAACCGGAGATGCAGTATGCACCAGATGGCCATTGCGGCTCTTTGTTCTTCACCATCTGCCAGGAACTCCCGGGCTTTGGGTGGCATTGGTCTCCGGCCGTCACGGTCGGCGTCTCGCTGCGTAAAACGCTGGTTTCAGTTCGCAAGTACCGTGAACTTTTGAATGCCGTATTATATCGAATGATTTGAATGATTTGAATGCCATATGATATGGCATGCGTCATATTTTTTTATGATATATGTATGTATGGCCCATATCTCATGCTTCAGATTCCAAGGTTAGCATGCACAAAGGCACAAAACGGCACAAACACCTTTTTTGTTCACCCGTGTCACCGCACAGAAGGGGCTTCACCGCACCCCGCGAGCCGTCCTCATCGGCCGTCCTCTTAAAGCGAACGGTCGACTCAGCCGGACCGGTCGGAGTGAGTGTTTGTCCGCCGGACGAAGGTCGTGTTCCGCCGGATGCACGTGCTATACACTCCTTGGAACTAACATGGTGATGTGACATATATGTACAGATATATGTGGAGAATGGCCCCGAAAGGAAGACCATTTTCCACTACAAACAGGTGGTTTTCCACTTCCATGTTATTTCCAGACTTAACGGTTTAGCGGACTTCGTGTGCGGACGAGATGTTTCATTCGTGCAACTCGAGTCTTGTGGGGACGGGAAGATCATGAATCATTGCCCTTATCCTCTTTTTGGACATGGCTCGCTCCCCAAAGAAAAAAGAGGTATGTGATATCGTGTGTGAGAGAGAGAGAGGTATGTGATGATATGTGATGATATTGTATCCATAAGTGTTTGCAAAAGCTCAGCCTCAACCTCTCCCAGCCTCGCAGACACTCGGACCGACACGCGACCGGTCCGCCCGAGACCTCCGCCCGAGGACGGCCAGGTCGCCGAAAAAGGGGGACGACGGAGCGACGAGCGGCGCGGTGATCGGAGGGTCGGAGATGATTTGGGGTGAGGAGAATTCAGTCCCAGCATTGGGTATACAAGTCCCACATTCGGGTGCCAAGATGGCTTGGGCCGGAGGTCGAAGTCAAGGTTGTACATTGAGTGCCTTCCACTGCGAAAGGAGCCAGAGTTAAATTGATTCTTTCGATCACGGTGTCTCGTGATCACCATGATCCTATTCCTACCACCCACGTGGACACGGACAGTTCTTCGGTGCTGCGGCAGCGGTGCGTCTCGGCAGCTGCCGCTTTTTGGCCGACGCAACAAACCAAGCCACGAGCCACGTCGAAAAATGAGGTGAAGAGATGAAGGTGATACTTATTGACAATTACCCCGTGGAAAACTAACATGGACCCTGAAAACCATTGGTGCAGCGTTCGAGGAAAACAGTCGGACTCAGGGTCCCATTCGACCCGGGTCCATGTGAGTTTTTGGGAGTGTATATGACAATATGACACATAGTGACCGAGATCATCGACATAAATAATATATGACAATATTAATCCCCAGGTGACAAATGGTGACAATTTTTGGTGTGTGAATTGTTTTCGTGACGGTGCTCCCGTCCATCGTGGTTTCCTGGCTGGCCCTTTGGTTGTTGGGTTGGTGCAGTTTCGAACGAAGAGTCATGGAGGTTTTGGAGTGTCCAAGTCCAGGACCGACGTCGACCTGTTTCAAGAGCCACAAAGAGTGCAAAAAGCCAGTCACATGCAGAGTGAAGGAGGGCTTTGGCTTGCAGGATCAAAGGATGTCACTCATGCACTGCACGTGGAAAGTACTTCTTCCTGTTAATTCAGCGTTGCATCACTCATCTCCGCCCACCTTTGAACAGTTGCAACACCCAACAAAAGTTATATTATGTTCTATTTGATTGAATAAATCTTGCAAGGTTTCAACCAAACAGCATGTGCCAACATGTTTGACAGAGGCACACAAGGCTGTTCTTTGTCAGCGCCACTCCACCCGAATTCGTTCAGTCCTGAACAGGGCCGTAATACAACCTCGAAGCCAGAAGATGCCAGAAGAGTTTTGCTGCCTTGAACTTGCCTCACGCAATGCCAGTCTCGGTGCTCGTACTTGTCTCCCGTGCTGCATCAAGGTGCAGAATATCTTCAGATTATGGGTTGGAACAAAGGAGGTTGGAACAAAGGAACGATTCAAAACGGTGAGGGAGTTGGCCTTTTGCAATCCATGTGCAAAAGTGATACAGTGCTTCTAGGCGTCTAAGATCGGTCAAAGAACATGGGTGTTTTCCGCCTGAAAAAGGGTCGGGTGTGTTTTCGCCTGCGCCCGCCGTGCTCGGGCCCCATTCGGCGGTTTGATGAGGTGTTGGTCGTGCTGGTAGAGGGAAAGTCGAACGAAGGCAACCATGGGTTGTGTTTTGAAGGGGGGTCACCTGCGAGAGAGATTCTCTATTCTCAGTTTGTTTTGACTTGCAGGGGCTCATGTTGACATATTCCCAGGCAAAGTCGCCCTTTTCTTCAATTGTATGTCAAGCTATCCTTGATCCAGCAACAGTAATTCCCACTTGCTCGTCGTCTCAAGTCGCGCGCCCACTCTTTCTCCTCGCCCACACCGAGTCGCCGTGCAATTCGAACGGCTTCTCCCGAGTCGATTCACCGTCCAAATCTGATCCGACGAAGATCATGGTGTGCTGTTTACCCGGCTGAAAAGCGATAATCATGTTGACTGCAGGTTGGCGGCCAGACATGAAGGCCGGTTCCCTTTTTGGTGGAAGGGAGGGGCAACCTGCATACATCCAACCCCAACATGCATCCCTAATGAGGATGTGTTCCCTTCAATATCAAACAAGTGGTAGTTGCTAGCTCAACAGAACAATTGATATTGTGAACTCATTCGAACCGACTCACTGACTCGCTTTCAAGATCTTTCAAGCTATTTGGATAACCAGAGGCAGACTGCTGTAGCTAAAGCTGGTTTGTCTCAGAACGGGAGCAGCTGGGCAATATGCTTGGTCTGCACAGGGTTGTTTGATCATTGGGGGACTTGGGTGTGGCGCTGTACAAGTAGCTGAAAAATCATCTCCATAGTCCGGATGTTGGTTTAATCCGATCAGAGTGGAAACGATGAGTTGGCGGGACTAGACCCCTTACTTGAGTATGTTCAGATGTTAGTGCACTGCACTGCCAAAGATTGTTTCTTAAACCGACCATGAGAGATGACATACGCAAAAATACGTAAATTTAATGTTTGTAGGATCCTGCAAGCGCCACGGGTCGTTCTTCATCATAATTCAGGCTGATTCAGATTGCAGGTCTTGTTTTAGTGGGAATGAACAGCATGCAGCATTCCCTATTAGGGCCGGCCTGCCCCTCAACTAGAGATGTTGTTCTGCTTTGAAGCCTCAACGTGTATAGTTTCACTATGATGAAGACGTGTCCAAACAGTTCAAGCTCCTTCGCCTCTTGATCTAACAACTCACACCGCACTCGAGGCGAATTGAAGCACTGGCAGTCACTGGCACCGAGCAGAAGGGGCCAAGCAGGCGCCACGGCAAGCAGAACTGGGCGCATGGCATGCCGCGCCTGGGTGGATCGTCTGGGGCGCATGGCATGCCCAAAGGATTTCTCCAAATAACTCTGGACATCTCCGGACTGTGCTTGCTTTTCGGATCATTCTTTGCCCCAAACCTGAGCGGGACTTTCCTTTTTTTGATGTTGCTTGCAAGTGTTGTCCAAAGGGGGGCAACTGAGTCCACCAAAGGATTCTTTGCGTTTTGAGCAGATAGCCTTCGCATGTTTTGAAGCGCTGTAGCTACCATTGCAGTTGGGAAGCCACCTTTGGGACGTGCCTTGGTGGCTTGGAGGAGGAAGAAATGGTGCACCTTCATTTCATCTCTGAAACTCTGGCAACCTTTGAACCCAAATCTTTGGCCCAAGAAGCGAATCTTGAGCCCAAAACAATGTCAGCAGGCGGGTTTCACACAGTGCTTTTGCGAAATGATGGCAGTGCTGTTGCCTGTGGAAAGAACAACTTTGGGCAAGGCAACATTCCACCTTTGCATGAAGGAATTTCATACACCCAAGTTTCAGCAGGCGAGCTTCATACAGTGCTTCTCCGAAGTGATGGCAGCGCTGTTGCTTGCGGAGATAACACCTACGGACAATGCAACATTCCACCTTTGGATAAGGGAAGGTCATACACCCAGGTTTCTGCAGGTGATTTTCATACAGTGCTTCTTCGAAGTGATGGCAGGGCTGTTCCTTGCGGAGAAAACACAGCCGGACAATGCAACATTCCGCTGTTAGATAAGGGAATGTCCTACACCCAGATATCAGCAGGAGGGCTTCATACAGTGCTTCTCCGAAGTGATGGCAGCGCTGTTGCCTGCGGATCCACTATTGGCAGCCGAAGCGATATTCCACCTTTGGATGATGGAGTCTTCTACACCCAGGTTTCTGCAGGAAGTTTTCATACAGTGCTTCTTCGAAGTGATCGCAGGGTTGTTGCTTGTGGAGAAAACACCTCCGGACAATGCAACATTCCACTGTTGGATGAGGGAGTGTCCTACACCCAGATATCAGCAGGAGGGGTTCATACAGTGCTTCTCCGAAGTGATGGCAGCGCTGTTGCCTGCGGATCCACTATTGGCAGCCGAAGCGATATTCCACCTTTGGATGATGGAATCTTCTACACCCAGGTTTCTGCAGGAAGTTTACATACAGTGCTTCTCCGAAGTGATGGCAGTGCTGTTGCCTTCGGAGTTAACTTTGGAAACTGTGACATTCCGTCTCTGAAGTCTTGGCAGGAGTTCTTTACTTTTGCAGCCGCCGGCCGCCGCTACATTTCCAACGTGACCCCAGTCACCAAAGAACGTGTTTTGCAGCTAGGTTTCATGTTTGAAGAAGATGCTGTTGCGGTGACATGCTGGGATTTGGCCGGGCATGAGGTGTTGCACTTGAGGGTACGTGGGTCTGACCTTGCCTCAGATGTTCACCTGCGTGTTGTGAGTAACTTTAAGGTGATCCCCCAAAGCCTTCGAGTGGTCTTGCCTGATGGACAGTTGTTGGCCTCAACCTGCAGGGCAAATCCGTTGGCTACCATTGCTGACGTGGGTGGGTCAAACACGGTGAGCATGGCTGACTTGTCTCAGATTCAAACCAAGTCAGCCCAATAGTTCCCGGATGCCTTCCTTAGCTGGCGTGCAATCCATCAGAGCAAAAGAATGTGCAGAGTCCAAGACCATGTCTTTGCGTTTTGTCCACTGCCTCCACAGTTGGAGCTTGTGTGGGAAGTTCGCTGCAATATCCTCTTTGGCTTGCAGCTGCCAAGTTGTTCCTCACGCTGCGCAAAGATCGCAACACCCACTTTTTTACATATCGATCCTATTGTTTTCCGACCCTGCCGTGGAACGACCTGGACCAATTGGGAGTAACAAAGCGGTCGTCTAGAAATTGACCGCAGGTAGGGTGCTTGAAATGAATGCCAATTCCCTCTCCCGAAAAATGCATTCCATATAATTATCAGGGCCTATACGAACAAAGTGATGGTTGTTAGTCAACTGGACACTTGATGTTGTGAACTCATCAGCGAACTGACACGCTTTCAAGCCATTTGGATAACCAGAGGCAGCCTAATGTAGCTTAAGCTGGTTTGTCTCAGAACAGGAGCAGCTGGGCAATATGCTTGGTCTGCACAGGGTGTGTTAAATCATTGGGGGACTTGGGTCTGGCGCTGTACAAGTAGCTGAAGAATCATCTCCATAGTCCGGATGTTGGTTTAATCCGATCAGAGTGGAAACGATGAGTTGGCGGGACTAGACCCCTTACTTGAGTATGTTCAGATGTTAGTGCACTGCACTGCCAAAGATTGTTTCTTAAACCGACCATGAGAGATGACATACGCAAAAATACGTAAATTTAATGTTTGTAGGATCCTGCAAGCGCCACGGGTCGTTCTTCATCATAATTCAGGCTGATTCAGATTGCAGGTCTTGTTTTAGTGGGAATGAACAGCATGCAGCATTCCCTATTAGGGCCGGCCTGCCCCTCAACTAGAGATGTTGTTCTGCTTTGAAGCCTCAACGTGTATAGTTTCACTATGATGAAGACGTGTCCAAACAGTTTAAGCTCCTTCGCATCTTGATCTAACAACTCACACCGCACTCGAGGCGAATTGAAGCACTGGCAGTCACTGGCACCGAGAAAAAGGGCCAAGCAGCTGGGCGCATGGCATGTCGCGCCTGGATCGATTTCTGGGTCAATTCAATCCAAACGAGTTCTCTAAATGAGTCTGGCGTATTCTGGCTTTATGGATCATTCTTTGCCCCAAACATGAGCGGGACTTTCCGCACTTATGGGTCCTGCATGGCCCGCGTCTGTTTGGAAGTTGTACTCCTAAAAATGGAGGGGAAGGGGGGCGGGCACGAATGGTTTTGCAAGTCTGTCTCGACATCAGATTGATGTTGAAGACAAAGAATACGTTATTATAACATAATGGGGTATTATAACAAGATATGGTTATGGCTGAATGGTTCAAGAAATGTTTGATGCACCTCTCCTTACGGTGCTCCAAAGTGATGGCAATGCTATTGCTTGCGGAAAAGATGATTCTGGACGATGCAGCATTCCACCCTTGGATACGACCATGTCTTACACCCAGGCTTCTGCAGGCAGGTTTTCATGCAGCACTTCTGAGGTTTGGATGATGAAATCTTCTACACCGGGTTTCTGCAGGAGGGCATCATACAGTGCTTCTCCGAAGTGATGGTATTGCTTTTGCTTGCGGTTGGAATGTTGTTCATGGACAATGCAATATTCCTCCTTTGGGAAAGGGACTTTTCTACACCCAGGTCCGGTCTGCAGGATGGTGTCATCCAGTGCTTCTCAGAAGCGATGGCTGTGCTGCTGCTTGTGGAACTCTCATGGGCAATGCAGCATTTCACTGCTTGGATGAGGGATTCTTCTACGCTCAGATTTCTGCATTAGGAAGTGACGGCAGTGCCATTGCTTGCGGAACAGATGGCGGAGAATTGCGGAGAATGCAACGTTCCACCTGTAGAGGAGGGGATGTCCTACACCGTTTCTGCAGGATTCTTTCATACAGCTTTTCGACTAGCTTCTTGTTTCTAATAGCTTCTTGTTACTACTAGTAAGGCACCTGTTTCTGCAGGATTTCATACAGCGGTCCTCCAAAGTGATGGCACTGTTGCCGGCCCGAATATATTCCGACGCAACAGTCCATCTCTAAAGTCCTGGCGCGAGTTTCTATCGCGATTGCCAGCCATTACTATATGTCAGATCATGTGCTGTTTGGCATGTACAATACGTTGCAGCTAAAAGTTGTCTTTGAAGATTAATCAGCATTGCTGACATGCTGGGAATTACGCTTGAGGGCGCATGAGTTTGACCTTGCCTCGGATGCTCTTAATCGCATTATTGCGCATGACTTCAAGGTAAGCCTCCAAAGCCTTAGTGGTTTTGGCTGATGGACAGTTGTTGTCCTCAATCTGCAGGGCAAATCCATTGGCCACCATTGCTGATGTGGTGAAGTGAACCTGGCACTCGCATCTCACATGATCTCGGCAAGGTCGGCCAGGGAATGGAGTCGTTAACACCGAGGAGCACCGGAGACGGGAGGCAGCCTGTGCTACTGTCAATGTTTGCCATGCTGCTGTGCTGCTTGGTTTTGGTTCAAAGTAGGTGGAAGAAACCCAGAATGTAGCCATTCGTTGTTGTGACATGACTCGCTTTTGCCCGTAGCCTGGTCCAAGGAAGCATCATGCTCATGGTTCAACCATGTTCAACCCGACGAGCGAAGCAGAACACATCCCACAGATCAAAGACTGCGGTACGGTGTGAAGATGGATTCAAAGGGTCTTGCCGGGTGCTTGGAAAGTCCTTACATGTTTGCTGATGGTCGGCAACGTCCTCCCCGATTCTTTTCTTGGTGCAAGGGGTCACACCCTGCTGTACACACTGGAAGACCAACAACAACAACAACAACAACAACCAGAGCCATGTTTCTACCTGCTGGTAGATATATTGCCTAAGAGTCAATACTGTATTGAGGCTGCCCAAGTCGAAGCCAGCAGCAATGCCTTGAAAGTCCCTTATGCTCTCAGCAATGCTACCAGGAGCGGTTCCGCGCAAACGACGAGCTTCAGAAATTTATTGGAACTCTACCACTCCTCACCAGGAAAAATAACATCTTGAGTGTGGGGTCTTCAACTCAATCTTCATCTCCAGCTTGTCCCACTTCATCTCCGAGGCCCAGAGTTCCACTTCATCATCTTCATTCATACAGCTTCATACTAAGGGATACTAAGGGCATCTAAAAGCTACTAGTTACTAGTTTCAATCAGTAACAAGAAGCTAGTAGTAACAAGTGCCACGCTACTAGTAACAGGTGCCTTACTAGTAGTAACAAGAAGCTACTAGTTACTAGTTTCAATCCACCTCCCAAAAGAACCATCGATCTCTCGACATCGATCCCGGGACAATCTGTCTTTTCACAGGTGGTGCCGTGACCACGCACCATCCGCAGCGGAACCCGGTTCCACGGTGGAGCCCGGTTCCGACACGGTGGGCCAATGGCTCCAGGCGTGTGGTGACGGGGCTGAGGCATCTGAATCCAAATTGTCATGCCTGAGCACGGCAATCCATACAAGTTGTGGGAATTGCTGCAAGAGCCCAGGTTCTTGTCAGCCGTACACTTCATGCTGTAAAAGAGATCTTTCGCGTGTGACTGTGTGACTGCATATTTGGCAAATTTTGCCAACATGTGTTGTGTGTAGGGGGTAGCAGGTAGCTAATATGAAAGAGCGACCCAGCGTTCCTTTTGAGGAGGTCCTTCAATGTTGCCTAGTAGCCTAGCACGGAGAGACTGAGAGAGACTTCAATGTCAGTGGGGTGAAGGGGTGTGATCAGAAAGGACGGGATCAATAGATACCAACCACGACAGATTCGCATCCCAAAAGCAGTTCGAAAGGATTCCTAACCCCTTAGCTAGAAACGTCATTGACCAGTTTCTTCTTGTCCATCTTCTCCATAGAATCAGTTGCCTCAGGTCGCTTCCTCCATAGAAACAGTTCTCTCTTCCAAATGCTTCGAGTCCCGCCGCGCGGAGCTCCGCTCTCCGCTCTGCCGTGCCGAACGCCAATCGGGTCGTTCGAAGCGGCGCAGGTCGGGTCGCGTAGGTCCGAAGATCGGTGTGGCGGCATCGCTGGGAGGTGCGAAGATGGGACGTGGGCTCCGTGGGGATGGGGAGGGGGCGGGGCGGACCTACGTCGAAATGGTGTATAGGTGTTGAAGAAAAAGCACCGCATAAAGAGCTATGTCCATCCAAATGGTGGGTTGTTTATCAAGAGTTTACATTAGGTAGATTACACTAGATTACCAAGGAAAGAGTAGGTGGGAATTAGAGTCAAGGGTTTTGCTGATGTGCTAACCAGTTTGCCGACATATCAGCCGTACCAGCCATACCCAAACAGTTCATTCCTGGTCAACTGCTTGAAAAGGATAATATAAGCTGTGCTGTTTTAGAGCATGATTGAGTTGAGAGCCCTTCTATGGATGTTTCCGGTGTTTCCTTGGGTATAGAGAGCACTGCTTCATGTGGCTAGTTTTTTTGGATTCCACCACCAGAATCCGATTTCCATGCTATTTTAGGGATCCCGTGTCTACTCATGTCTACTCTTGAGGGGTGATTTAAAAGCTCCCAGCGGCATTCTTTCAAGAATCAGATCGTATGACCAGATCAAGGGAGGGATGTGTGCCATGCCCATTAGAATGCCATGTCAAAACACTGGTAGAATACCTTGGACACTGATGAGTCCCTGATGAGTTTGTGGATGTTTGTGGTGAACATTGGCTATCTTTGATCTCCAAAAGCTCCACTAGACTTCTTAGACCCCCGTTGTTCTCTGGTGACTCGGGTTCTGCGTGTGTCTGATCCGCAGGCGCCTGCGCAACCGCACGCGCCGCTCGTCGGAGAGTCGCCCGGGCGGCAGCGGCAGGCGCGAGGGAGGGAGAAGTGGCGAAGCAGGTGAGTTGCCTGGTTTTTGCTCACGAGGAAGGATGTGTTATTTTTCCTGATGGGTGATTGGATGAAACAATCCCTTCTGGCGAACAGATGGTTTCGAAATCCAAGTTTGGACGAAAAGACCTCCCACGGAGCTCTATTGGAAGAACGATGTGGGATCAGGGCTGCCACACATTGGCCTCCCCCCTCTTGGCCAGACTTGACTTGGCTGTGTGAGAACAAGACATTGTAAGAACGACTTCCAGAGGTTGTAAGAATATGTACTGTGAAGACCATTTTCCTCAAGAAACAGGTGGTGTTCCATTTCCATGTTAGTGAGTCGGAGTGCACAACCTTTTGGGTCATTTTGGGTCAGTTCAAAGAGAGCCTTTGGGAAGCGTAGTGTTCCAATGGCTGACCCACGGAGTGGTACTGTTTTGTCAAGCGTTGTTTCACCAGTTTGATGATTTTACTTGTTCAATCCTTTTCATTTCTCTCACAAAGATGCAACCTGGTACAAATACTGCAAGATGTTTTCCCCAGCCAACCAAATATTAATGTCAAGAAGCTGGTTCCTGCCCTCAAATGTTCACAAAAGGCTAGTATAACAGTATATCACTGTTTGATGTGTTCAGGGTCACGAGCGTTATTCTTGTTGGATGCACTCGTTTGAGTAGGAATACTCGTTTGATACCAATTGAAAATGGGAAGCCAAAACAAAGGTGAAGAAAGACATGCTCCTTCCTAGAGACTATATAACTGGTTGATCCCCATGTCAGTTCATCTTTGGGTTGTTGTGTTTTGATGTGTCTTTTGGAACCTCCTCGTTGGATTAGCTCTTGATACCTCCCTTGGGAGCTGGTGAACCTCAGGCGGTCACCTCAGGCTCCTGGCACCGAATCGGACCCGGGGTCCCACGGAACCCAGCGCGTTCGGGATCGGGAGGCAGCGAGTTCGTGATCGAGGGCCGTGGGAACGTGGTGGTTTTGGCCAAGGAGGAGGATGTCTTGGCGGAGGTGGCGGTTTCTGGGATTGATCGATCGCATCGGCTGCATTGGGATCTGCATGCGATTCATGATCAGCCCTTGGGACCGACGCAAAGCGACGCAAAGCGAGGATCTTCGACGGATCTAGCAGCTCTTAGTACTCTAGGAGTCTGGGTGCAAGCAAGGGGACTTTGCTTCAAAACTGCCTGGCCAATTCCAGAACAATCACCCAAGCATCACCAAATCATGTTTAGAGTTTAGACACACTGCCAACATGAAGCTTTTTGTGGACATGGATGGAAGATACATGAAAGATGATGGAAGGCTTCCAGCGCAGCCCCCCCCCTTTGTGGGACAGGATGAATAAATATAGGTATAGATCTCACAGGCGTTCCAACCTCACTGGAAGCTTTGGGAAAGACAGATCGGGGGGCCCCGAACCCAAAACAGACACCCGAATGCTTTGGAGGGAACAGCGAACAGCTTTGAGCATCGCTGGGAGCTTGGCTTTTTGCAAAAAAGGGGCTTAATGTTGTGGGACTTTCACCACATGGCACGGTTAGAAAGTGTGGAAGTTACGGTCAGAAAGTCAGCAAAATAGAACGGCTCGTTGTTGCCCTTGTCACGAGCTTCATATACACACGTACCGTCACGTACCTACTTGTTGTCGGGAATCCATAACGCCCAAAAGAGCTGAGGACGCAGTGGGTCGTTTGATCAAAGAGCCGGATCATGTGGTTGGAGGTTGGTTGAACTTGTTGGTTGTTTCTTGGAGTATGCTGGGGTGTTGTTTCGCTTTGAGGTAGATGAAAAAAGCATTAAAATAACAACACTCAGACAAGGAAGGGAAGGTTGCCCCACTCACTTGGAACAGAACTTTGCAACAGAACCAGTGCCGTCGCCGTGGCCTGAGGCTGAAGTGGCCTCCTGTGCTAGTGCCGTGGCTGGCAGATCGAAGATCGGAGGCTTCCAATTGCTGTAATTTGGCCTCCAGTGCTGGGAGCGATGGTGTCCTACCGGTAGGAACTGCTGTCATCGGCGTCTTCGCGGTAGGAACTGCCTGACGTTTGGAATTGGGATTCGTCATGATTCGTTTGAAGGGTCTGGAGTTGGAGGTCGTAGCTTGCACGTTCAGATCAGCTGCCTATGTTGGTCATGTTCACACGGTAGATGCTCAAGGGGTCAAAAGCTTGGTCGACACGTTGAGGACACTAGAAGTTACTGCACATGCTGGTGCTGTTGTTTGAAGACCTTCCTGGGCAACTCATCAACCCCGTGCAAGTGCATGTTCCTGTACATTCCAGTGGTTTTGAGAGCCCATCTTGATCTGCAGGAGGGTAATCAACCCTTCCAAATAGCCCATTTCCTTGGCGCAACAACTTCTCTGCATCCTCCGCAGCTGCTTCACGAGTTGCACCTTTTGTTCAATTCAAGTCAGTACAGCAAGAACTACAAATAACAAATATTGCTCTTCGATCTTCAACGCTGAATTGAATGTGACAGATCCTGGAGGCAAACCCATGACAAAGATTCCGATCCACTTGGGCTGGCGGCTGGGGGAAGAAGATTGGAACCCCGAAAAAGCTGCAGATCTGCATCCATCCGAGTCAATCCGAGTTAGAGGGGTTGGCTTCTTGGTAACCGTACTGCTGCTCGTGAGCTCACGTGGCCTTCTACGCGTGCGCTGGGTACTGCCATGGGTGGTTGCTTGAGCGGTTGGTGTGACGTCGGGGCACCTGCTGCGGTCTGACGTCGAGCCAAGGACGGCGGCCGATCGACGATCCTCAAGTCTGGGGTGTGTTTCACCAGCGAAAAAAAACCATGATTGGAGGCTCCGAAAGAACGCGTGAGAAAGACATGTTGGATCAAGATTCTGTTCAGAGAAGTGATGGTGGCTTGATGTTTGAAATGCATTGCATGTTATTGGCTTCCAGATGACTTCATGGTCATCCATCCATCATCATCATCATCAGCAGCAGCGGCGGCGGCGGCGGCAGCGGCAGCGGCAGCAGCATTAGCATCATACGGACGACTCAAATGTCAAACGGACACTCAAGCAAGAACGTGTGTAAAGACATACGTGACTATTGGATATTGAATATGTAGCATGCATGTATCATGTATCACAATATCGCATATGTCCTGTTAGCTGTTCACGGCAAAAACGATGTCAAGAACACAGCATAGCTCTTGTCAGGACCATCACTTCTCACTTAAATACCTCTCAATTCACTTCTCTCCGCACGGCAGGAGCTACTCCGGGACCCCACCGCGGTGCGCGGGAAGGACCTGGAGCTGAGCTTCGAGGTGGCGGAGGTGACCATGATCCGCGATGAGGCGAATGAGCAAAGACCACCCGCACTGGGCTCCAGGTAGAGATGATTCACATGGCCTTCAAGGCTCCAAGAACTGCGCATGCCGCATACCAGCTTCCAGTGGATGCACTTGCTCCAACATGGGAGTGTGATGAAGGGAACATGCCTAGTGAGATCAGCGCAAGGAAGGTGGTCTGTGAGGACGGTCGTTGGGAGCATATAAAAGAAGTCTTCCTCCGATGTCAAATAAGAGAAGCCTCCGAGGGGGGAAGGTGGAAAGGCGAACTCTTTCGAAGGAGCATGGTCAGGCCAAGCCCACGGCCAGGGACCTTCGCAAGATTGATCCTTTGCAAAAGATCAATGGTCAGATGGCAATAAGAGGTAACAAGAGTCTTCGAGGCGTTTGATGTGAAGAAGAAGTTCACGGTGGAAGTAGGTGATTGGCAGACGTATGACGCTGAGAAGAGAGGATCTTCACAGCTGAAAAGGTGTTTGGCTGATCCATCTACTATGAAGGCACCACCAGTGTGGCGTCCCAGCTGGGCTGTCGGAGCTTCTTGTTGTCCCCATGATCGATTTTCATTGATGGCTTGAGTGGGAGAATCTCACCGTGGCCATCTTCTCACGGTGGCCATCGGGGCTTCTGTTTGACCCGGCCAAGGATCTCTTGGGCCGGGAAAGTGTGGCTGCCGCGCTCAAAAAACGACGAGACAGGGTTTGTGTAAGCTATAGGAAGCTCCTCCGGATCTCTTAGGAATCAACCTAAGACAAGGTATCCTAAGATTCAGATGACAAAACCCATTCTTACTCCATCGCATTCCCTACTTGGATCGCCACCGGTGGCAGCACACAGGCCGTCCTCATCCCACGTCTATCCCACTTCCACCAAGCTCGATCCACGATGTGGCCTGCATGACACCTCCGTGAGGTGCTGCCATTGAAGAGAAGGGCGCCTTCTCTCTTTGTGTGCCGGGTGGCTTTGGGAAAGCCGATGGCCAGGACCCGAAATGAAAATGATCCGCAAACATGGAAGCTGCCTAGGCGGTTCCAGGAAGAGAGGTTTGGGATAGATTTAATATAGTGGTGCTCTATCTGAATTATTTGTTCTTTTACTGGTATGTTATTGTGGTTTTGTGTTTCTCCTTTGTGGACAGGTTGAGTGGATATGATTTTTGAGTCATACTGACTGTCATACTGCCAATATCTGCCAATTGTTGATGTCCTTTCAGATTTTGTGTGTTTCTTTGCTCATTTCAACTTCTGATGCCATGGCTTAGTCATGATAGTCATGTTTGGTCCTCTACTTTCTTGGGAGTGAACCTATCAGACAATACTGTACATGAGCATACCTTTTCGTTGGTACTTGTTTGCTTCAAATGACCCATCAGACAATCAACCTTTTTAACTCTCCCCACACACATACACACGAAGAGGGCAGATGCATGCAGATGCTCACGCTCCCGGCCCTGGCCGTAAGCCCTTTCTGCTCGACTCCCATCGGTCCCAGGAGCCGGTGAGCGCACGCTTGGTGGGGCAGTCCTTGCAGATGCTCGTGGGCGAGGACGTGGACTTCTCGAAGTGGCACGTCTTCTTCACCGGAGAGCGGTTGGATGGTCAGGACTTGGGTGAAACGGTGGGGAGGGGGACTGGTTGCGTGGTGGGTTGAGCGGTGTTCTTTTTGTTACTGTCTTTTCGCTGGATCGGAGGTGGGGGTGGTTGGGGCGGCCGTGGGTCTTGGTGGAAAGCAGAGAAGAGTGAGATTCGAGAGGCCAAAACGGAGCGGCAGGAGTGCACCTCCAGATGTTGAATTGGAGAGAATGCCAGTTGGTCAAAGCTCTGCAGAAGATCAGAAGATCAACCGCTTTTTCTTCCTACCGCTGCGGAGAGTAGACCACAACTTCTAGCAGTTGGGGGGATGCTCTCTTGCATGTCGGACATGTTGGGTCAGTTGGTTTGCAGATTGTTTCTTGAATTTCAAGAATTCAAGAAAGGGCTGAGAGTTTGACGTGGGTGAGCACACCCTAGCCAGTAAAATATCAGGCTGTCCCATACATAGGAATTCAGGGCGATGGCTCTTACACAGTGCCGTTGACCATGAGTGGTCAATAGTCACCCTTCTCGACACCAGCAATAGATAATATACTGTATAAAATCTTCGCCCCCCGTCCATCGCTGCATGTTTTGCCGAACTCGTGGTCAGAGTTCCCCGATGAGAGCGATGGCCGAGGAGTCCTTCCTTTTGGCCAAAGAGCTTTGGATCGACGCCTGTGGGATCCCTGCTGATCAGGCCAGCGGTCCTTCTGCTGAGGTGAGAGGACGTCATCTGCAGAAATTCTGCAACGAAGAACCGTGTTGCCCGTCCGTGTGACAGTGCAGAGATGCGAAGCTTCGCAGGGAGTTCACTGAAGTGAATGGAACAAAAAACGGCTCCCAAAAACACCTAGATCACCTCGCCAGCTGGTGAATGGAGAGGGGAAGATCGAAGATCCTCAAAGCTGTTTTTGGGTGCATGGCTCGCTGTGTGAGGAGCAGACTGACACCCAGTGGGTCACTTGATCTCCTCAGTTTTGATGGTCACGTTGACAGGCCTGTTTGACAGGTCCGGATGGGACTCCACAAAGGCCACAGGACTGCAGACTTCATATAGTTGATAGAAGCACCAACGGGTCATTGAGCAGTGCTTTGCAGACTTTGGTCACATACTTCGCACCCACCAGCATGAACGAAGGAAGATTGATGACTCTGAGTTGGCCGGAAAAATGCTCGATGCATTCCATCCTTTTTCCGCCTTGAGGTATTCCTTGTTCGTCCTCCCGCACTGAGAACCCAACCCAAAACCCACGTTTGCCACGCCGAAAACTCGATTGGCAGGTTCACCCAGTGCCTCAGATCCCTTCGGCCGAGGGCGCTGCGGCGCAGTACACGGTGGCACCCGTGGGGACTGGGAGACGTGGGGCCATGAGACGTGGGGGCGTCCTGTTGAACATGGACTGGACAAACGAAGAGGGATCGCCCACAGCTCAGATTGTTCTGGCTCGGGGTGGAGACGCCTCCATCCTTTGCATGTGAAGAGGGATCGGAAGATTTGAGATGAGGACGTCCTGTAGAAGCGGTGTGTTGTCATGTTTTGCTGGTCCGTGTTTTTTTGAAGGCAACCACTGAAGAGTACATGTGCTTCAGACACCGTTCCGTGTGGTTCAGCTGAACGCCTAAGCGTGGTATGATCACATGATGCGGTTCGAGAGACACTCAGACCCGGTGCAGGCGGAGATTTGTATGCAGCAGGGGCGCTCAGATTCTTCAAGATAAAGGACATGAAAGGACAACCGTTTCAGTTTCATGGGCAAACCTGCTAGATTGTTGGCACAAATCTGGTTGGTTGATTGATGATTGAAGGCAGAAGGAGAGACAATTCCCCCTGGCTCCGAGGCTCCACGAATAGACATGTGACATGTTGTATTGAGAGACGAGGGTTGGGGACGAGATACAGTGGGCCATCAGAGGTTCAATGGCACCCCAAGTTTTGGTGGTTTATATGGAGCCCGCTGCAGAGGAAATTAGATGAATGTCTCCCCACCGCTTCAGTGTCTACGAAGCGACGCGTGCTCCCCTGCGCGCTGAGGGAGGAGACGGTCTTGGTGGACAGCGAGGAGGCCATTGAAGTGTGAGATGGAACAAACAAACATGGCAACCAAGTCACGAACTCAAAAACGAAGCTGCCACCTGCCACAGAGGGTGTTTTTAATCTTTCAAGTCATATAAGTCATGGAGTCATGCATCTCTATATATATATATAATTGGGGTCTAGAGTCTAGATGGGTCTAGTTTTGTAATGTGTTTTTGCTCGCTGATGGTGGCACCTGGAAGGGTCAGCCTTTCGGTGCAGGAAAATCCCGTGCAGGAAAACTCAGCACCGCCACCGCGACCCACTCCCAACCAGCGCCCGGCTGCCCCGTGCTCTCCGGTGTCCAGGGCTTGCCGGCGTTGGACCTGTTGCTCCTGCATGTGGGCCCCGACGGCACTGTGGGACGTTTGAAGCCCAACTCGCCTGGGAGCTCGCCCCGGTGGGACCTGGCGACAGGTTGGGGGCGACAGGTTGGTGGTTGTTGCCCTTTGTTACTAGTAGCTTCTTAGTTACTAGTCGTTGATGAATTTGGGGGTGCGCTTGGGTCGGTTTTGGGTAGCTTGGAGGCTTGACAGGAGTTGGGTGGGTTGGGAAGGTGCTTTGGACCCAAGCAGAGACTGCTTGGAGTAGGTCAAAACCATGTCAATATCTGGCCCTCAGGTACCTGACCAAATGGAGTGGTTGGGTACTTCGCACAAAACGAACGAGGCAAACCCACGAAGTTGGTCATCGTGTCGCTCGAAAGATGTCAAGCAGCGATGTCACTCGGACCCACAGAAAGAAAAAGCATAGTGAAGCCTTGTAGCGATGAAGAAAGGCTCGGAAGAGAAAAATGTGGTTGTCCTGGTGGACGAAAAACGCCCATCGAACTTCCATGAAGCCGTCTTCAAGCGAGGTCTGAAATTGATGAAGCAGGCACTGGCAAGGCGAATGTGTGAGTCTTTGATGTGTTTTTGTTGCTGATCCAGACATAGCATGTAACTTGGACATCGGCTTGGGTTAGGCAATGAAGGAGAATCCAGTTCATGTTGGGAGACGTTCATGGTACGGTGTTTGGCGCCAGTTTTTCACACATGATTGATTTCGGGGCTCGTGATCGTGATGTTATCCCAATTGGTCTGTGTGTCCGGACTTTGAGCCAGAGCTGTCACACTGTGCGAGCCGGTTCCACACTTGGAGCTGTTCCAAGAAGACTTTCATGCACAGCTTGGATGGTTTCTGTGTTTAAAGTTCAATACTCTGTGTCTTTCTGTCAGCTATGAACTGTCACAGGTCTAAGGTCGTATCTAAGAAGGATCATGTATAATCTACCCAAGTTCAAGCTCAATGGAGGAGCTGCTGGTCCTGTTGACCCTCTGGCAGGTGGTTTTGCCCATTGAAGAAGCAGGTGCCGAGGCGATCTGCGGTGCTGGTCAGCGCGGTTTGAGCGGGTTTGGAGCCTTAGGAGGTGGAGGTTGAGGATTGTGTGGAGTCAGAAGGCCTTTTCCACAAGCTGTTCACTCATAGTGGGTGCTCCAGATACTAGTTTTAGTCCAAGTTACAGTGTTTTTGGAGTCGTCTTTGGCTATAGGATGCTATAGGTGAGCTGTTGAGTGGATCTAATTGAGTAAGCAAGGCTAAGCAAGGGGTAATTTTGTGACTTCTGCTTGAAACGAACAACCTGCACACATCTGCAGGTTGCCTTCTTTTCAAGGTGGTTTTTCAGGGAGAACGGGAGATTTGTTTGGAAACCTCGCGGAGCATCCAACGTCATATCCCATGCAGCTCCTGTACACTTGCGTTGTAAATCCGCTCGACTCCACGAGATTTTGTTTGCTGGTGTTCAAGAAGCATCAAATGTTGCGCATGTGTGAACCCCCCAACAAAAAGGTGAACATTGGAATACCTTTCAGGGGTGTTCAATATATATAGGGTTCTCACCACAGCCATCTCACACAAGCGACCATATTTCCTGGTGTGGCCAGCAAGGACGGCCTATGCACACGCTCCGCAGCCGCAGGCAGCCATCGTGGGGCCAGATTTTATGAATGCGGCACGGTCTGCGGTGGGTTTCCTCAGTGTGGGCCCAGGCAGAACCTCACGATCTTCAAAGTTGAGGCTCCAGGGCTCCAGGGCTCCAAGAAAGACCCACCAAAAAGAGAGACCTATATCAATGGACCCTTGGGTGACCGACCCTCCGCTATGCTCTTCATCTCCAGTGAAATCCCTCAGGTTGCTACTAGGGTGGAGGCCATCGCTACTAGGGTGGAGGCCATCCAACCGGCCCACCTGAAGCAGCCCTGTTCCCCGTACTCCCATGCCTTGCCGACGTTCGCACCCAGGTGCTGCTGGCCACGGGCAGCCACAGCGCCCAAGCGGTGCAAGCTGCGTTGAAGAAGCCCAGGCGACACGGGAACTCGCCAGTGGGGGGCGATGTGTCGCGTGTGTTGCGAGATTAGAGAGACTCTGGAAAATAGACCCAGTCTACCCAGCCCGGGCCGGTCTCCCTATTAGAATACACACCCGTATGTCGTGTTCGACGCGTTCGTTCTTGGATTGATGAAGAGTAGCCCAGTAGCGAACATTGCTCCTAGTAGCGATGCCAGGAGCCCCTAGTAGCTTCTTGTTCCGGCAAAATACTGAGGGTCAGCATTCTTGGAAGCATTGAAGCATCACTGATTTGGCGATCAACATCATGGCCCACATAGGGTCAGTCGGAACAAGGGGCTTCCAGTGGGAATTCTTGTGCCACATCTGTTTGGTAAACACTCAGACAGAGTCAAACATGCTGGATCGCTTGGGCAACACATCTTGTCCATTTTTTGTCAATCACCCAAGATCCTTTCATCTTGGCAGTGCCATGCAGTGCCTGATCTTGCTTTTCTTTTCACTTTGCTTCCCAGTCCCACACATGAACCCGTCCAGCAACAGTCTAGACGTTCGTGCTTGCTTTGTCCTGCAGTGCCTCGTGCCCCGCGAGCTTGCTGCGGACGCAGCAGATGTCGGGCGCCCAGACGGCGTTTCTCGATGCGGATCTCCGGCCGGGGAGAAAACGACCCCGCCGTCGTCGGTGTGTGTCTTCGGTCGGGTGGAAAGGGTGGCCGGTTGGCCAGTCATATACAGCCTCAAGGTCTTTCATTCATAAAAGGAGCTATAATCCTTAGGATTCAAGCACCGCCATGGTTTTGTTTCCAAACATCGTAAGGTTTTGAATGGTTTTGACTTCCGAGTTGAGATGCCCAGTGCCATATCGCTTCCTGTGAGGAGTGCCTTCCGGTCTTTCTTCGTTTCGTTGAAAGAGAAGTTGAGGAGGTTCCCATTGATTTCCCATTGCAAGAAGCAGTCGATCGTGAGGCAAAACATCATTCAATACTGAATCCATTCCGCAAAAAAATGATGAACGTTCCTGAACCAACCAATGGGCCTGTGTTCTTTGAACATAAACCTGGCCTGGAACTAGTCATGGTCTTCTACATATAGCCTGGGCCCGTGGGCCACTCCGCATATGAATCTTCACATACGGCCTGGGCTGGTTTCGGGGATGAAAGTAGGGGGTGTTTGGATTGCCCGTCCTTTGAGTCGTGTCCCGTCTCTTCCGGACGTGCTGCCCCAGAGTCTTCCCGCCCTCAGGACATGGATGTTGGACTCTGACTGCGCGACATTGATCTGAGGGGTTGGGTCATAGGCCATGGCCCGCCAGTGCCTGTGTTGTACCCTTTCCTGGTCTTTCGTGTGGTGGAGAATGGGATTGGAGACAACCATTTCTTTCAAGCCGTGAGGCCGCGCGGTGTCGCTGTGGATCAGTGCCACAAGACACACAAACAAGCAAAGGCAAGGACTCCATTTGAGGCAAGGACTTCGAAAATAGATCATTGAGGCCAAAAGCGCGAACGCGAGCTCCATCGGGCCAGGAGAATCAGGAGACCAGAGCCTCAAAAAAAGAGGGCCACGCCTTAAATGGGGAACCTTTTTTTCATCAGCTGTGCTGGAATCCGCGAAGAGAATTCGAAGAATGAGGAAGACCTTTGAGAAGACTTGCAAACTCTTTGGTTGTTTGGCTACTCTCCATGCCTAATAATATCATATAATATCCCATAATTAATTGTTTATTACATAGTTCACAAGACGTTATTTTTTGATGTTTCTTTTCACATGTCTCATGAGGAATCTCATGTTGTTTGTTCCGAACCTAGACTCCCCAGGGTGTCCGTCCATGTCGACCCTGCCCGTCTTCACCGCAGGTCTTTCAGCCTCAGGCCCCACCGTCTCGCCATGGGCGTGCGACATCTCCATGTGGCGCTAGTCGTCGTACTGGCGCTTCCCGTCCCAGGCGCGTGGGCGCACGCCCTTGCGGGCGTGGTTGGCGACCTGAGGTCGATTGGTAGATTGGTAGATTGGTAGATCGATGACTTTGAAGATGGGTAGTTGATGCCGAATAGATCAGATGCTGGTGACGGTCAAAGGTGCTTTCACATGCTTTGAACCATGCCTGACAAATGCTCACTTCATCCGCTTGGGCGCTTTCCAGTTTCTCGGGAACATTAAGAAGATGTTGGTTTCTTGTCCAATGCACTTGTCATTCAAAGGTTTGTTCCTCAGTCTCCAAAACGCAGTATAGGAAACATCAAAAACATCAGGCACTCGTGGTTGGCTTTCATGGAAGCCACGCTGAGCGGGCACCTGGAGGGCATTGAGTGGTGTGCTGAAAATGTCGGACGGATTTGTTTCCAGGTGTGGAAATCGTGATCGATGCCAGTGGAGAGCAGATGGGGAGCACCCACATGCTGCGCCAGAGACTTATGAGGGTATACGGGGGATTATGAGGGTATGGTTTAAATATCCAGGGCTTAGGTTTGGTAGGTTTCTGTCGCAGTTTGTCAATCCTTTGATGCGAATCTTTGGGACAAGATGTTGCAGACATTGCGGACATTGTGTGAAGGTGGTCCCAGCCTGGTAGGGACTCGGGGATGGTGTGGTCATGGAATGTCATGGATGCGTTGTAAAAGTGGGCTAAGAAAAACGCCTTGAACTCACTGAAATCGAATGACTTGGGTCAAGATACGAATTACAAGGTACATCTTCCAAAAGACTCCCAAAGCATGAGAGGTTGACATCCCTCGTCATTGGACACCAAGCCATGGGCCTCGTCATGGTGCCTCCCCAAACAAAAAGCCGGGTGCCTTGTGATGTTCAGTGGCCATTTGCCCCGGTGGCACGTCGCATCACGCGATTCGCAGCGATTGAGCCCCGCGGGTGGCTCAAACGCCCAGCGGCTCGTTTGAGCGGCTCAAACGCCCCGCTGCTGAAACGCAAAGGTCGAGAGGAGGCCTATGTGACCTATTCAACGACGCCTCATCCATGCACGGACAAGACCTTGTGTTCGGGATGTGAAGGAGCATATTCCGGTTTCATGTGAAAGCGAGAGTTTCGGAGAGAGAGAGAGAGAGAGAGTTTTGGGTGGGTCGTAGGTGAAGCGGATGCTTTTGCTACTTGGAGGAATTTTTGACTTGGACACTTTGGTGAAGACCTACTGGTTCCATGGGGGGTTGATTGAAAGACAGATAGCTTCAGAGGAAAGAAGAAGTGCAATCTTCAATGACAGACTTCTCGGAGGCTTCTTATGGAGATATCATCATATATCATCCATTTGCTAGTTTTGCTCTTACCGGACCAGCTCCAAGCTTTGACCAGCTCCATTTGTTGTGGCAGATCTGGTCGCCCGTCCTTTCGCCCATGCTGTCCGAAACGTCGCCCTTGTGTGAGGACTTGGGCGGTCGACGTGCGAGCACCTGGGCGGAAAGGTTGGTTGGAGTGGCTTCTTTGGACACGAGTTGCAACATATCGGAAGATTGTCGAAGATAGTAAAAAGATCTAAAAAGAAAGTTCTGCCATTCCACATTTGGGTCGTCAGTGACACAGGGCTTTGTGGACACATGTGGACACCATCGCGCGTTTAGGAGTGCCTGTTGGAAGGATGAGGATGAAGACAGGAACCGACAATGCGTTTGGACCACACTGTGGCTTGGCTGAATTGCTTGTAGCGGATGTTGCAGGGTTCCTCAATAAATATTCCTAACCCCAAAGTCGCAGGGCAGTACCACTTTGTTTCACACACGTTCTTTGTTTGTATTGTGAGACCCTGATTATGGGATGAATCGGAGCAGTTTCAAGGATGCAAAAAAAAGAGTCCGTCTTCTCCAAAAGCAGAACATTCCTGTCACCGTCTACGGTCTGCAGACTGTTTGGTTCCGAATCAAGTGTTGGATACGGTGGAGAGCGATGGCCTGCAGTCATGATCGATCCTGCCCTCCTTCCCTCTCAGCTCCAGATCCACCCCATGACCCACTGAAATGATGCCAACGTATGCCAATGTATGCACTGAAAGAGGAACTGAAGGCTTATCACCACAGGATTCCTCCTACACAATTATCTGAATTTGCGATAATCATGTGACAGAAAGCTGCTACTTGCACCCAATCCAAGGTGGAATTGTACCCACAAGGCAGGAGGAGCTTGGTGCTAACTCATTCGGCATCAAAAGTCCAAATATATTCAGGTTTGAGCGACTTAAATTTCACAAACGTCGGAACTTTGGGACAAAAAGGTTTTGGAACATTTTGGAACTAGAAGGGTGATTTCACAAGGAAATTATTGGAAAGGGTCCAAACAACGAGCCAAAACGATGTGAGAAATGATTCAAAACAAAACCATCGTAACCAACATAGGAGGTTTGCCTTTTTCATCACCGTCATTACAAATAGATATATATATATATGCTACCCCCCCCCCATGTACCCCCGTTTTGCTTCAAGTGCATATGTATTGCGTAGGATGCACCAGATGACAGCAGACGATACACTTACAGTTGCATGCTAAAGCTTACCAGATGACAGCAGACGATATACTTACAGTTGCATGCTAAAGCTTGCGACTTGTTACTTGAGAAGCCTTCTGAGAAGCAGACGCAAGAGAAGTCCTATTTGTTACTTTACAAGCAGACACAGCCAGCACAGACTTTTTCAATCCCTGATCGAAGGTGCTTCACTCAACTGGCTTGACAGACTTTTGTGTCAACCATGCGCAGAGGTCACCGGAAGCCACCCACAGATCCTTATTCCGATTCCAGTACTCATACTGGATGGACCGGATCTGCTCCCGGAGCCTTGCTGAGCCTGCCTTGGAATGTTGGTTTAAATCCAGGCGAGACTTAAAGAACCGCCAAACACGATCAATGATTTGGGTGCCTGCCTTCACCTTGATGACTTTCCCTGAATCTGGCAACTTGTGTTCGCGCAGAGACACATATTTGGGAGCCTTCCACATCCATTTGCCCTTGACCTTAACGCGCTGTTTACAATGCACTACATGGTCATGGACAACCATAGGCAGACGAAGCTTCTAGCTTCGAGCTGAATCAGTGTGGAAAATCAATTTCCTACCCCTCAGATGCTTTTCAGCAATCGGCTGCCACTCGTGCTTGCGAATGGCGCCGGGACCAGGCGCCCGTGGCTCTGTCAGTTCAGGACGTAGACGGTGCAAAATCAAAGTGTCCGGTTGCCCCCTTTGCACCATTCCAACCCACTGCTCCCACTCCATGAGATTCTTACCATCCTTCTTCACCGGCTTCTTGTCAAAGGTGGTCTCATCTCCCTCCACATCTACCCACGTCTTGCAATTTCCAAAGGCCATTTTTTTTCAGTTGCCTCCACATACGTTTTCCTTCCAGCTGCCAGCTTCGAACGCATGTCCTCGATGGCCTTGTGGTTGACACGCAAGGCATTGTGAATGACTCCATTGGGAACCTTGTTGAGGAGGAGAAAGAGCAAAGCACTCTGAATCTGGAGTGGATGACCTTCGGGCCCCTTGCATTCAGTGAAGAGAGGGTGCAAGTAATGTGGATTCAACCAAGCTTTGCAGCGCCAGTAGTTGCACTTGTGCTTCAAGCTTCCATTCCGTGGCCCAGGCTTCAGCTTCGAGAGGGTCCCGTGCTCGCACTTGGGACATTGCTTACCTTCCCATGAGACCAATATCTTGTTTGCTACAAGTTTCTCAACAATGCCCTTGTCATCAGCGCGCACGAGGTCCAAGAGACTGCGCTTCCATTTGGATTGGTCCATGCGAAGGCCACGGGGCTGCACGGCACTCTTGTCCCTCGTGTAGGGCACCTGGCTCCAAGCTTTGCTTTTGGTTAATGCCGGCCTCTTCTGCACCATGCGAGTCTTACCTTTTTTTGGCACGGGAAAAGGGTTGAATTTCGCCATAAAGGGATGCAAGAGGAGGTATGGGAGCTTCTGAACTGATCTGTTGAAACGGCTCGTGAATACACAGGAATGCAACCTGCAGTGAACGTTTGTGAATGTGAAGCAATGAAAAAATAGCAACACACAAAGTTTCGACACAGTTACCTTTTTTTTGACACGCTCGTGTGCATTGGATCTTTTCCCAATGCTGACAAAAACGGACACCTCTCAGTCCTTAAGGCCTAGATCTGCTGCAGCTTCTTCGTCTGCAGCAAAATCTTCATCTTCAGGGAGCGCTGCGGCAGGCTGGGGGCCGTGGACCACTTGCTCTTCAGACTGGACTCCTTCTTGCGAGGCTTTCTTGCGAAAGCGTTTCTGGGGAGATGGATATTTGAAGGTTGGGCGGCGCCGAGGGGCATTTGCCGGCCGTGGAACTGGTACTGGTATGAGAGGTGCAGCAACCGCCTCCTCAGGGGAACTGGGTGAATTTTCAGGCGCAGTCCACATTTCCGGAAAGCGCCTGTTGCGGAGCAAGGCCTCTTCCACTGCATCTCTAGCATGCTTGACATATTCAGCTGGCTGCACACATTGTAGATATTTGGTCATGCTTGCCTCAATCATGTCTTGCTCTTCCGACACCTTTTCATCAAAATCAGGTGCCTTGGTGCTGAAGCCGCTCTTGTAGTTCCCGTAGAACTCTTTGTCCATTTCTGCGAGCAAGTCCTTGTGCAAGTCGTCCACGTTGATCCGGTAGATCGGCTCATCGGCACTTTGACTGGGGAGCCGCAGGTACAGCGCATGCAAGCCGAAAATAAAGACAACTGTCCTTTTGAGAACCGCCATGACATCCGCAGGTTTGTCTCCGGGGAATGTTCGTTTGAGGAGGCCCAGGAACTCGGCGTTGTCAATGGAGATGCGGTTGTCTGGCTCTGGCTCATCTTCCTTTTGCACATCATTTGTTGCATAGACTCGGCAACAATTCTTGGCCAATTTGACATCATTGTATCTTCCGTGACAGGTTTGGTTCTCCTCCGCTGTGACAAATGACTTCAAGTCTGCCAAGTCAATCTTTTCTCGATTGGGATCATCAAGAAAGACTCCTTCATGGACCTGGCCAAGACGATGCCGGAAGTTATCTAAAGACTTGGCCCTCCGCCAGCCTGGAGGTGTGAGTAAGCCAAGACGTCTTTGATGGTACCTGCCCATGGCCAACATCATGACGATGGCTGCTGGAGTTTTTCCAACGCCAGGCCAGCCCAAGAGCATGAAAGCATAGTTCACCATGAGCGGGTACAAGATAGGCAGGAGCGTTTTGGCGAAGAAAGGCTTCAACGAGAAGGTGTGCAACGGAAAGTCATGCTCCAATGGGGCACCATCTTTTCCTTTTGCCTTGTTCTGAGCCATAGTGCGTACCTTCGCCTTCGGCCACCCAGAAATCGGAGTGTTGGAGTTGTCCTTGATGTTGCACAAGATCCAATAGTACTGTTGGTTCTGCGCGTCACAATCAGGGGCATTGTCGTTGATGTACTGGATGCCAGCAAGGAGGTCCTCATCATCAGGGGCCCACGTGGCAGTCTGAGAACGCCGAATGGTAGAAGGCTTCGAAGTGAGGGCAAACCAAGACACATGATAACCTGGAAGCTTGTCAATCAAAGACACCAAAGCCTTTTTCAAAGCCCAAGGACCAGGACGGAAGGCAGGAGCATAAGCTTGTCCACTGCATAATTTTAACGCTTCTTTGGTGGAGATGGCCTGCTCAAAGTGCAGAATCTTGACGACCTCGAAGGTACCATCTTCCAAATTACGAATCACCAGGCCCAGGCGACATCCTTCAGGAAGGGACTGGGGAGGTCGAATACATGCTGGGAGGTTGTCCACTTGGTCGCAGGAATGTACTGGAGCGAATTCCGGCACTGAGAGCTGCACATCAAAAAGGAGAGTTACCTGCTTCATGCCATCCAAAGGCCGGCACGCTTCTCGGAGGAACGTGGTCAAGGAAATGGCATCATCCATAGAAGCTGCCTGCTTCATGCCACAGGCTGGGGAATCCAGCGTGGCCAACATCCAGTTCTTGCCACCGTAGTTGGAGATAGCTGCGTCCAAGAGGGTAGCACTCGACATGACGGCGACTCAGGAGAATAAGGCACAAAGGCTTAAGGGCGGAGCTACACGAAAGCGACTACAGATATCGAAATGGCAAAGGCAAGCAGGGGCACGCAGACAACGACTGAAGATATGATGCAACATGCTGCAGAGGGTACTGGCAATGGTAGTTTCTCAGCCACGTTTGTGCAAAAACATTCATGCATTACCGTTTCTTCACACAACAGCTTGCTAGTCTTGCATCTTTTGAAAGACAATAGTGATTATAGATACAAGTACATATGACTCATTGAAGCTGGCTGCGCGGCGCAATGATTCAATTTTCTCTCCAATGGAAGACTTGGAGCACGGCTACATCTGCCTACGGACTGGTGTCCATACTCTCAGGTGAGGCTGCAGCTGCCTGACGAAGACGTTGCTGAAGTTCATGGATGAGGCCCTCTTGCTCCTTGATTTTGGTTTCTTTCTCATTAACCTCTTTCTCCTTGTCGGCGAGCTTGCGTTCCAAATCCTCATAGTCAGCCACCAAGCGAGTCATTGACTCCGAGATGTCATCGAAATCGGCAACCAAGGCTTTGTGACGAGGATGCTGCAGAACGCATTCCAAGGGCACTGGGGTCTGCTCACAAACAGCATCCTCAGGAGACATGTCCTCCTCGGCACTACCTGCAGGTTCAGCCCCGGGAACATCATTGATCTCGGCATTGTTGGAGGGCTCACAGCGCTGGCTGTCCGAAGAATCTGCCGATGAAGCTTCAGAGGACGAGTCGCTGTCAGAGCTGTCGGAGGAGTCGGAGAGATCCTTGAGCGCCTCAGGTGTTCTCAGGCAGCAAAGGAGAAAGAGATATGACTATACAACAAAGTCGGTTTGACGAACGACAAACGACTTACGACATTGGAGAAAGTTTCTGTTATTGCAGGCGGGCTGCCAGCAACTCAGTCTTATCGCCTGGGCCAATTGCGAGCTTGGAGCTGCTTCCTGCGGGGACACGTTTCGCTGAAGCAAGGCACTTGCGTAGATCCTCTTCGGCGGCTTGAGTCCACACACCTTTTTTGATTCCTCTCGGCTGAAGGCTTCTTGTCTTTTGGATGTTGTTGATGATGATGGCCAAAGTCTTCCTGTCGAGGGGGATACGTGAAGGGTGCACAGGAATGTTGCCGGCCAGAATGCGTTCCCACA